TTTATTTATTTTCTTTTACTTTATTTTATTTTACTTTATTTTATTTAAAATATTTTTTATCTTGCCTTTCTCTTAAGGACCCAAAAAGGCTTACACCATTAAGACAATATTAAAACTAAAAACAGCAATTCTACCAACACTAACAAGGACTGATCAGATACCACCACTGAACAACACATTCAAAGCAGGGAGGTATAGTACAATCATCCATTAAAAAGCCCCGCTCAGGGAGTCAGTCATGAAGGGAAAGCTTGCCTGAAGAGAAAGGTTTTTGCCTGCTTGCGGAAGAATAACAAATATGGGGCCAGCCTGACTTCCTGTGGGATGGAGTTCCAGAGTCTGAGAGCAGCAGTTACAGAGCCCATAGACACCGGGTTGCCATGTTTGAATTTGAGAGGGCTCTGATAACTTCAAGAGAGATAGTAGACAATTTTACCAGTTACAGCTTCTCTTTTAAACCTGTTCTAAAAGAAGCTGTCCGAGGAGAAGTTTTTATTTCTACACCACTTTTTCAAGTACAGTGATGCTTCCAGTTTGCTGAGAAACCAGATGAATCATATGTTGGGATTATTCCAACCTTCATATGCTGCCTTTAAGCGGTTTTGACTTGATGAAACCCTTCTGGACTGGGGTGAATGTCAAACAGTCCATCAGCAACCAATTTTTTCCCTCTCTGCCTCAGATTTTGAAGACAGCAATGCCTCTCTACTCAAATCCTTTTCTCATTTTTTTGCGGATGGTCAGTGTCCTGTTAATCATGTAAACAGTCAGATAGTTATGTCATCAGTAAGCAGGCTAAGAATCAGTTAAACTCTATTCATGTGACCAGTCATTATATTTCTACAATATGCGGTGTTTTGATCTACTCAGAATTGTGAGTAAAATTGACCTTCTTATTGTTTCTCTCACCAGCGTCTCTGAGCAAGTTATTGAGACAATAAGTGCCAGTTGAGGAGAACTAAAAATAAGGGGTAGTCTGCTCTGGGGAGACTTAGCTAACTCTGCTTTGTGGGTTCCTGAACCATTTCTGCTGAGCTGCCAGAGGTTTTTAAGCCACAAAAATTCACACTCCGCCAAGATCATATTTGTGTTCCCTGAAGGATTTCGACAAGGAAGCTTCCAGATTCAGGAAACTTTAAACAACACATTGTTAGAGAGCCCGACCTGTGGACAAGCAGTCTAAACATAATAGTGTGAAATAAAATATGCAAAGCTCGAGAATTAAGGGGCTTTACCAATGAGTGGTTACTCGTTCTGTTAGATGTCCTCGGAAAAGATTCCTCATTCAAAGGGGACATTGTATATTTGTCTCTATCCAACCAGAGGCAATATGATACATAAACGTGATAAGACCCATTACATATCTTGCCCTCTGAGGCTCGAGAATCCTTTGTGCTGTCTTGTAGCAAAGCTGGGTGGGCAGGCTGACAGAGAAGTGGATTGCCACATTAGGTTTGATCTTGCAGTGCCTCTGTCTAATTTTTTCCCCCTCATACTCTTTCCCCACCTTCAGCACTTGCTTGCAGTCCACAAAAGTGATGCACCCACATATACATTCACACATGCAAGGGTGCAAAACGGAGGTTGGGAAGCCTCACGGAGACACAACAGCCAAGTGAAAGCAAAGCAGAAAAGGGCAGAAATGAATTACAAGCTGCTCTCAACTTCTGTGGTGGAAGAACGGAAGCCAAGCAAGGCTTGAGGAGACTTGAATTTCTTCAGGCAGGCCCGAGGCATCAGCATGGCAAGGTTATAGCAGAAGCCTCTGAGTCGGAACGCATCCCTCCCTCAGTTGCAGCCCCTTGTTGTTTATAAAGTCACAACGGCAAGGAAATATGGTCGCACCTCTTGGCAGGAGGAGACTTGAATTTCTTCAGGCAGGCCCAAGGCATCAGCATGGCGAGGTTATGGCAGAAGCCTCTGAGTCGGAACACATCCCTCCCTCAGTTGCAGCCACTTGTTTATAAAGTCACAACGGCAAGGATATATGGTCGCACCTCTTGGCAGTGCGGTTGAGAAGCGCATGTTTCCCGTTTACCTTGGTTTCTAGCTTATCTATGACACAATGTGCCCCTCATCAGAAGGCCACAGTCAGCAAGGCAGATGGAAAGCAGAAGGAACAGTCTAAAAATAGAGAGCTTCCAGTATCCAAGGGAGTTGGGATATTGTGAGTTGGGATCCTTAAAAATATATCATCCTCTGGACTCATGGGCCAAGCCCACTATGCATGGTGGAGGCCCTCTTCAGGATCTTCACGCTCTCTGTGTGGGAGGGTCACAAAAATGTAACCACCCTCCCCTCCACCCATGATTAGGACACACAATTTTCTAACTACTGAATAGGGACGAATTCTTAATACATGGTTTCCATCAAACCATTGGGATTAATTTCCTGCTGGGCTTTTGAGTGACTGGTTCCTCTGATGTTAACAGATTCACCTTTTAGACTTTTTCCTGGATCGATCTTTGCTATTCCTAAGCCGTGGCAGAATAACTCAAAACTGGCTGTTGTGGAAAACAGTTTGGGCATGCGCCCTAGGGGCTTTTGAGTGACTGGTTCCTCTGATGTTAACAGATTCACCTTTTAGACTTTTTCCTGGAGTGATTTCTGTTATTCGTAAGTAAGCCTTGGCAGAATAACTCCAAACTGGCTGTTGTGAAAAACAGTTCAGGATTTGCCCCTAGAGTAGAGCATTCGAAGCATTCCACTAAACTACAAATGCCAGGAGGGATACCCAGTGTGGTATAGTGGATAGAGGGACGTACTAGGACTCAGGAGCCCATGGTTCGAATCCCCGCTCAACCATGAAAACTCATAGGGAGTGTGGAAATGGTAAAAACACTCCCCGAACTCCTCAGTTACCTTGAAAACCCCATTAAGGTAGTGGGTTCTGAGTTGAAATCACATAACAATAACAACTTTCAGGATTCCGAAACTGCTGGGGCAGTTAAAGAGGTATCGAGCTGATATAACTACAGTATCTTTATAAGGATGCTTTGCAGACCACAACACCCATGTTTTGCCCCCAAATTAAAGGGGAGCCCTTGTGCCAATCACCAAGCAATACTTACCTGTGAATTTTCCATAAGTTCTGCTAAAGGCAGTACCTTATGGCTGGGCTATAAACTAACAACTTCAAAAGTTTTGGGATGTTTGGGGGATTTTGATTGGGTTTCTGGTTTCTTTTCTTTTTTTTCTTTCTGCACCCTGAATGCTATCGCCTGACTTTTCCTCAACGCTTTGCTTAAAACTCTCCGAGGGAGTGTGAAAAGTCCCCGCGTGTGCAAGCCTCCCTCTTAGATTTCTCTCACAAATCGATCTCTCGCTCCAAAACCGCTCTCTCAGATGAACGTGTCCCTTCTGGGGGAGAGCCCCTTGCCTGCCTGTCCGCCCTTCAGTCTTGGGGGGGGGGGAAGAGAGACTGCCCCTCCAGTGACCTGCTTTTAATAAGCTTCCCAGGGAGATCACATGAGTGAACCGGGAGCGCGCGCTCGCCCGCCTCCTCCTCCTCCTCCCTTTTCTCTCCTCTGCGGGCTCGCTCGCACGGTCTCCTTTCTTTACCGTCCGAACGCCAGGCGCGGATCCCCTTTGCCCCGAGGAGAGAAGCCGTCGTCGGGGTGGGCATTCTGAGAGAAGCACGAACAGAAAAGGAACCGGGGTGGGGAGCGGACGTCGGAAGAAAGGCGCCAGGAGTTTCGGGGGAAAAAAAGAAAGAGGCACGGAACAGGGCTGCGTTTGAGGAGCAAAGGTGCTGAAAGCTCAGGGGTCGTCGTCGTCGTCGTCATCATCATCATCATCACCATCCCAAGGAACTGAAGACAGTTGGAGGGAGAGATCGGGAGATTTTTTTCTACTTGCCACGCAAAGTAAGTGCAAGGGACGAGTTGGGTCTGTCAAAGGCGTCTTCTGGTCCTCAGTCCTCTCCTGCGTGGACAACAACAAGTTGGGCAGGGATGTGAAGGGTGTAAGGGAGCTTGGCTGCTCCTCCGGCGAGTTGGGGAGGGGGGGGTTCAGCTTCAGATGTTTTCCGCGGTTGGAGGAAGTTGGTGGAGAGAAGGACCCGGAGTCACATCACAACGTTTTTCTTGTGGTGTTTTTTTGTACAGCGAGGATGCCGCTTCTTTTGTGTAAGAAGGATATTCCCTAATGGACATTTATATTTTTATAGCCCTAGGGGCAAAGTAAGATCAGCATCATTTATCAGTTGAAGGCCCCCCCCCCCCCGAAATACAAGGGTCATAAGGTAGACCTGCCAGGACCACCCATTTGTGTAGCATCTAAGTCAGTTTGAAGGGGGAAAATTCATGAAGGTTTCTCTCATTCCCCCCGTCCCCCTTTCCTCTTCTCTCCCTCTGTCTCTCTGTTGGTTCCTCCAACTTCCATGTCACCTTGGCATGAGAGAGCTACAAGGGAAGCATTGAGGTGCAGGAAGGTCCTGTGCCCTCAGGTTTTCCTTGCTTTTTGAACACTGGATGGCTCTATTCCGAGGGAGCGAAGAGCTGAGTGTCCTACAGGAAACCTGTTTCTCCTTTTCTCTTCCTTGGACAGTCTGTGCCCAGCCCTAACCGGAGGGGAGGAGCTCCCCCCATGCCAAGCTGTACCAGCTCGTGTTGGTCACTTTTGCTTCTGCTCCATTGGAAGCACGGGCATTTTCCAGACGGATGAAGGCAAGGCAGAAAATGACTGGGTTCCAAGTGCATTTATCCAGAGTCGGGGAGAAAGAAAAAGCCTTCAAAATCAAATAGTTCTGCTTCACCGGCTCTACCCTCAGAAATGTGACTTTTCTAGATTTTAACAGTAAACTTTAACCAACTAAGTTTTATAAGAAATATAAGCAGTGAGGTTCTTTGTGTGGGAGGGGGGTGTATTGAAACAAGTATCGCTTTGATAAAGTTTTATTTGTACCTCGAGAACTGAAATCAGCATTTCCCTCTGTGTGTTCATAAACTCAACCACATTCTACTTTAAAAAAACACAATTATACAAAGTCTTTTTTTCTCCTGTTAATTTTGAAGCCTGGGTAATTCATGGGTACTCAGGAACTCACTCTTTCTGGCAATGACCAGATCCAGGCCCAAGTAGTTTTAACATCGTTCCTGTGCTTTCAGGCTATACCCCAGATTTTGAGTTGACAGTTGTAACAAGGTGAGCCTGGCCCAGTGTTGTACTGCTCACACAACAGCCCTTTTGTGCAAATGGTTCTGCACTGTAGGAATTTGTGTAAGGAGATGTCTTATACTTCCATGCAAGAGTGGAAGTCCCATTGATTCAAAAGGCTCATTTCCACCATCTCCATTTGTGCAACACTGAACTGGCAGGTCAAGCAGAATTACACTGGTGAAGCATCCAGCTCTGCCATCATTCAGCAGGATTCTGGCCCTGGTTTCATCTTTAATAGTCTCTTAATCTGTCACATCTCCTGCTCATTCTTTCTCATCTGCTATGGCAAATGGAGTTGTAATATTGCCCTACAGCACTTATATCTCAGTGCTGACTGGATAGCTCAGTGGTTTAGGTATCTGGCTGCAGAACCAGAGGTTGCGAGTTTGATTCCCCATTGTGCCTCCTGCAATTAGAGCCAGCCTGTATGGCCTTGGGTGAGCTGCGCAGTCCCAGGACACACACACACCCCAACGAAGGGAATGGACAACCACTTCTCTGTATTCTCTTCCTGGAAAATCCTGAAAAAAGGTCACCATAAGTCAGAATTGACTTGGTGGTACTTAATTATTATTTATACAACACTTAGAGAAGTAGAAAGAAAAGAAGGTCTGCAGAAGGTGTTGCAATGGCCACATAATCCATTACAGCCACTTAAAGATAAAGTTGAGTTTCAGCCTCACAGCCTTGCATGACTGTTATCATCACAGTCACATTATACAAAGATGTAGGCTAAGAAGTGATGATTTAATCCAAAGCCACACCATATGCTTCCTGTTGAACAAGGATTTCAACCCAAGCTTCTGTAGCTTAAACTGATATTTACTTATAGATAGTATCACAGAATATGGTTTGTCTTGGCATGGGGTTCAATGAACTTATAGAAATAGGAGCGGACCAAATGCCAAAGTAGAATTAAAAAGTCAAACCGTGTTGACTTGATAAAACATTTAACTTACTCTGCCATTAGTTTAACATGTCTGCAAATTACATTTAAGCACTTTGTGGGCAAGATCTTGTTTCAGCACCAGGCAAAACTAGTGAAATTACTATTTCATTTTGTGGCACTAATGCTAATTAAAATGAATAGGTCCTCAGAGGGATCAAAGATCTGAGGCTTGATTAATGGCTGAGGATGCAACAGTCATCCAAGTTGATCTGGAGCAGGTCTAGCCATGATTGCATCCCCTGTCCTCTTCAACCACTCCAACTTGGAAATAGTTTTGAAGTGAACTTTCTTGCCCACTGTTTTTAATTCCTAGGCTGATGACATCTTTTTCTCAAAATCAAATAACTAAATTGCTCCAACACTAGAGGTATCCAAGAGAAAATTGTACACCCATCTGTCAGATCTCCTTTTGGTTTGGATTCCTTCCTTGAGCAGGGTGTTACATAAGAACATAAGAAGAGTCCTGCTGGATCAGGCCAAGGGCCCATCTAGTCCAGCTTCCTGTATCTCACAGTGGCCCCACCAGATGCCTCTGGGAGCACACAAGACAACTAGATAGCTCTCTCCTGATACCCCTCCCATGTATCTGGCATTTTGGAGTTGGAGTTGATGACCTTATAGCCCCCTTTCCAGCTGTATGATTCCAGGATTCCATGAGATCAGGTTGCTGTTCTTGACGTTTCTTAAAGGATATCTTTCCATCTTTGGTGGTCTGACCTCAAAACAAGTTCATCCAACAAGCTTGTACTAAAATCTAGTCTGTTGTTTGAAAAGTAATTTCAGTAGGTAAAAAATTCCAGGACGGGTTTGTTGGGCCTGGAAGGGGGGCAGCTTCCTGATAATGGTATTCTAGGGAGTTGCCAGGATCACCTGAGATGTCAAAAATACAGAAGAACAAAATGATGACGAAACATTTAGACTCTAGAGACTGAAGCCAGATGTTCAGGGAAGGTACCCAGAAATCAATTTGTGGTCCTGAAAAAATAATAATATGGTACTGTATTAAGTGGTACAGGGGGTTGCAACCTTTAAAAAAAGTGAATGGCAGCTCCCAGAGATCTATTAAGTGGTACAGGGGGTTGCAACCTTTTAAAAAAGTGAATCCCAGAGATTTCTACGAATAGCAAGGCACCTTCTTCTTCTTTTTTTCCAGGGGAAAAGAATCTGTTGAATGTTTGGGGGCACAGAAACAAACTTGATGGGTGGCATGTAAATCTTGGGCAAATTCTGGGCCAGTCTTTGTGAAGCCCTGATCTGTCTGCTCTATGTCTTCTTCTATACACATGCATCTGTGGCCACTTCATATGGATTTAGAACTAGAGATTACTGAAGTTGTCAGTTCCACTTTCTCCCACATTCAAGTGTTTTAAGTCTCACATTCTTTTCAACTTCTTTATGAAGAAATAATGTTGGAACAGTACAGCCAGAACCACTATGCACATCCCTACTGCCCCTTCTATGTACTAATGATACCTTTGGAAGGGGTTCTAGTGAACTCTGCATTGATCTTAAAGGACTAATTTAAAAACTTCTCAGACTGTGTTTACTCATTGATAGATAGCAACAGGCTAGCCTCCTTGGGCCTTTTTCAAGGAGAAAGTTGGAGTAAAAATATTATAGATAGATAGATAGATAGATAGATAGATAGATAGATAGATAGATAGATAGATAGATAGATAGATAGATAGATAGATAGATAGATAGATAGATAGATAGATAGATAGATAGATAGATAACTTCTATGCTCATGTTTTCAAAGTAGCCCTGAATAGGGCTATATTTAAAGTGAAATGTGACAGTATAAGACCAAAAATGCATCTCTCTTTGCAAATGGCTGTCTGTGATGGGGAGCAGCAGACCACTAAATGCAGTGATCTTGTGACATTTTTGTTGGGTTTAGGAAAACACTCCTGGGAGGCTATGATCTAAGGCAGCCACTACCTCATGCAGTATGAGGACTCTCCTTCTTTTTCTTTGACATGTGAGAATGGACTCTCCTTGTTCTTTTGATATTACCTCTCAAAAATGGACATTGAGTCATTTTGCCCTTCACCACAAAGTAACCTTTTTCTCCTCCCAGATGCTTTGCCGCTATGTACATATAAAGCCAGTGGTTGACATGGTGCTCAATATCTCACCATCAACTGTCAAAGTAACACAAATAAAATAGATGTCTCTGACTGGAAGCCCTGCATTCTTAATTTAGATTGGAGATAGTGGTGGGGTACACCAAATGCTTGAGCGGGAAAGGATAAATGCCAGAACACTTGATTATCTGAACACTAGATGCAGATACAAACTTATCTGGGGGCATGGCCTTGTGCAGGAAATGAGGTTTCCTTCCAAGTGGGCATCTGTAGGATTGTACTATTAGGAAGTGTGGATTAAAACAGTGAGTTTGCGATAGGGGGTCTGTGTACCAGTAAAGGGACATAGGTGCATTCTGCATGGGACAAAGGTGTCTCTTGACAATTATTAAGCGTTCTTTCCCCACAGACCTCTGGCTTCTCTGCAGGTGTGAAGTATTTTCTCCTACTGCCATGACTGGGTCCTTTTTGAGGAGAAAGGCAGGGTAAAAAAAATATTATCTCTGTATGACGTTTTGATCTGCCAGTACTAATGCCTTTCCCCACAGACCTCTGGCTTCTCTGCAAGTGTGAAGTATTGTCTCCTACTGCCACGACTGGGTCCTTTTTGAAGAGAAAGGCAGGGTAAAATAATATTATCTCTGTATGACATTTTGATCTGCCAGTACTA